CGAATTCCTTCGCCTTTATTACGGTCCTGCGGCCCTCTCCGAAGATTTGGTCTCAGGCTATGGAAGGGACCTGACCTTAACTGAGCTTTTCAGTCCGTGACAAAACAGATGAAACCGAGTAAGATCCAGGCCCCAGATGGTTTTCTCCAGTAGCTTACTATACAAATCTTTTCCCTGGATATCCTGATGTCCCATTTCTTTTTGGCTTTTAATTCACTCTCTCCTCACATCCTTCCCGATCGCAAAACCGCCTTTTGTCGGCTCACATCACAGTTATCCCTAAAAGTGGAAAGATACCACCCAGGTCTTTCTAATTTACAGACCCATTTAGCCTTGCTGAATGTGGACATCAAGATTATTCGCCGAAGATCATCGCTAATCGCTTCTTCCCTGCTTCCCCTCCCCTGATTGACCTAAGACCAAGTGGGTTTTGTCCCTGGGAGAGAAGCAAGGGACAATACCATTTAAGGCCCTTAACCTTAACCATTGCTCTCCATAAGTCTAACTCTCCTTAATTTTTTTTCTCTCCCTCGTGGATGCAAGAAAAGGCCTTCGATAGGATTTTGCGAGTGGGACTCTCCTGAAGGCAACTCAATAGCAAGCACTGGGTTTAGGCGAGAAGATGCTTAACTTCATAGTGGCCCTATACTCCGATACTCCGACAGCAGCTCGAGTAAGGGTGAACGGTCATTTAATTATCAAATTCCTTTCATCAAGAATGGCACACGCACGCAAGGATGCCCCCCTCTCTCCGCTCCTGTTTGTCCTCTTCCCTTTGAACCCATTTGCTACGGAAAATTCGCTCGAATTATCCGATATCAAGGGGATTAGGGTGGCGGACAAAGATTACAAGCTCGCAGCCTACGCAGTTACGATATTCTCCTATATCTTGCTGATCCATTCACATCACCTTGCCCAACCCTACTGAAGGATTTTGCCCTCTTCAAGATTCTTATCTCGAATTTTAAAATTAACTTCTCCAAGTCTGCTGCCCTTAAACATTACCCAACTGCCTGCTGAGCTTGTCTCCTCCTGTGAGCTCCAATTCCCATTCCATTGGGAAAAGGAATCCTTAACCTATCTCGGTATTCAGCTTACCGTAATCTGGAGACCTCTATGTGAAAAATATCCTTCCCACGCTCTGCGCTACTCTGCAGGAAGACCTTAATAAATGGCATTGTCCTTCCTTCACTTGGTTTTGGAAGGGCAGCAATAATCAAAAATGGCATATTACATCCTCGCCTTCTATATCTCTTCCAAACATTGCCAAATTCATTTACCCCCTTGTCTTTTTATGTCGTGCAAAAGACTTTGCTCATACATTCCTATGCATCATAAGCGTCCGCGCATTGCTTTCTCCCAAAATGACCCCCTTCTAAGCTTAGAGGTGGAATTGACTTCCTGACTTTCACCGCTACTACTGGGCATGTCACCTTTCACGGTAGTTGATTGGCACGTTCACACTGCCTCCAAGGACTGGATATATATATAGAAGAATGCGTGCTCACCCTTACCCCTGGCATCGATTCCTTGGCTTCTGCCGCAGCACACGGCCTCATTCCCTTATCACTACTTCACGCCTTTGTGGGGGCCTACCTTAAAAACTTTTCGCGTGGCCTGTAAAATTGCATCCATCTCCGAAACACCCAACCCGTTAACCTCTATATCGTCTCAATCCTGATTTCCCTCCAGGAATGCACAAGACTTCTTACTGAAAATTTTGGCCGCATGAACAGATCTTGGTGAAACATTTTCTCCACAAAGGCAAGGTGAAAACACTCAAGAACTGACTGAAAGTTCTAGGTGTCCGCAATTCCCTTTTTGGCATAATTTTCAGATTAGACACTATCTGCTTTCACTGAAACCCCCTTTTCGACTGGGGCCTTCGTTCTCTTACCCCCTTTGAAACTATCTGGCGCTAAAGCTGAACCACGAAAGCACCTGATCTCGAGATCTATCCCCTCCTACTGGAGAATCGGACTTAATGACTCCCTCCCATCATGTCGAGCGTGGAATAGAGATCTTGAAACTAACCTATTGGACTTAGACTGGGACCGGGTATTTAAGCATTCTCATAAATGCTCCCTCAACGTCTCGACTCAGAAAATGGCTACAAAATAGCCTCGAGATGGTACCTGAACCCCTTGGAAAATTCATCGGTTTTTCAACCCCGCTTTCCCCGACAGTTTTTGGAGATGTGGGACCTCAATGGATTCATTCCTTCACATCTGGTGGTCTTGCTCTGTTCTGCAACCGTTTTTGGCAAGAAGTGTCACAGGCTAGTGGTGTCTGTAACTAACCTTGCCTTGGATTTCTCTCCGGCTCGATTCCTCCTCCATCACTCTTCCCTTTCCGGGGGGCAGTATTTCAAATCCTTAGCTATGCACATGATCAATGCAGCCAGACTCTGCATCCCTGTCCCTGTGGGGTTCCACACGCCCCCCTTCTATACGCGATTGGCTCACCCAGTGGAAAAAACGGCAGTTTATGGAAGAACTGATTGCGACTGCACTTGATACCCCTACAAAATTTTTCCCACACTTGGGCCTGTTTGGACTCATTTCTGACCTACCCCCGCATATCGATTCTCTGATGGACCAACCTGTTTTGAATTGACTTAGATTCCCTACTGTTGTAACTCAGTTGTATTTGACCCGATGGTGGTCAACATGCTCCCCCCCTCCTCCGTGTACATGGCCCACATTTATTTGACACTAATATTAATTTAGACTTCTACCGCACCTGATATGACCCGTATTGATGATCAAATAATTTTTGCAGTCACTCCCTTCCCTCACTCCCTTCTACCCAAGTGTTTCCCTCCCCCCCCCCCCCCCCCCTTTTTTTTTTTTTTTTTTTTTTTTTTTTTTTTTTTTCTTCCCCTTTTCTTTCTTTCTTTCCTTTGCGCTTCTCTCCTTCCTCTCTTTTTTTTTTTCTTCCTCTATTATGCTTGTACAAGCTCCAGATAATTATTCCGCAGAGCATTAGGCATGATGTCAACATCCTATCTCCTTTCCCATTAAGCGATTTCCATGACAATTTACTCCCATATACGCTCCCGCCACCTCCACTATCTCAAAACCTGTAGTATGGACTTCTGCTTAGATACTGTACGCACCCTCCTTTCCTCCATAGCACCATACTTTGAGACATTAATGTAGAACGCCTGGTGCCTCCTTGCTCTAATCGTTTGACAAGCACACTGGAATATTTGCAGGCACAACCTTGTCGTGGTTTTACTCATCCAATTTGTTAATTTCTGCATTGGATTTCATGCTCTTCTGTATGATATATATGTTTTGCCATATGCCCTATGTTCAACCCGTTGAAAATTTTATTCTGTCTTGTATCAATCTGTGTGTTTTGTTTTCAATAAACACCTCTTTTTTGGGAAAAAAAAAATAAAGCAAACAACATTGCGGCGACCAGTGTGAAAAAAAAAAAAAAAAAAAACCCATCTGCATCCCACAGTATACATTTTATTTTTCTAATTTGTCCCATTAAAAAATTTACACTAAAAGGTATATTTTTTATAAATCAGTAAATGTGACTTTCACCAAACGTTCACAGGTGGTGAAAAAAAATCACTGTCTCATATAAGGTGGGATTCTGACATGTGTATGCATTTTTAACTATGCCCCTAAAATTCTTTCTGGTATGAAGTATGACAAAGTAGTATGACAAAGTATATTTTTTAAATGGAGTAAAAAGGTGTTTGTAAAGGACAACTAAACCCAAGAATAAAATTGAATGCAGCATATAGTGCTTACGTTCCCTGGTTATATATTTGTTTTCTTCTATTTTTCTTCAGGCTACAAACATTTTTTAAAAATGCAGAAAATACTGTACCTGTTAATTTTGCAAGAACTGCATTGTCACTTCCTGGGAGCTGCACTGAAGAATATCTTTTTTCCTATCTATTGTCTGCCTCCATTGCAAGGGGAGAATGGGGTAGGGCAAATAATTGACAAAGAGATATATGGGCATGTTTGTAAGCCATATCAGGAGAGTAGCCTAGGGTGACAACCATGGCTCCCTCCACGGAGACAGTGGAGGAGTGATGTAGCCACACAGGGACAAGAAGTGTGTTATTTTTAGCTTTATGAGGTAAAAAATACAGCAAAAGATGCTTGGAAAAAGAACATTCTTGCAACCGGTACAACTAAGGACTAGTAACTGCAATGTTACATTTTGTACTTTTTTTTTTTTGGGGGGGTTTTTGTGTTGCTTAAAAAAATGTACAAGAGCACCCTCTCACACTCTCAGTGGTAAATGAAATTTTATAAATGAAAAAAATCCTAGCTAATGGAGAAATTAGTTTTTAGTAGGGTTATTGGGGTAAACAGGAATAGGTTTTTAAACTTGATTTCAGATGCAGATCAGTGATCACATCTTTATTCCTCCATCGCTCATTGAGGAACAGCTCTGTATAGAGGCAGGACTTTGCTTCTGAATGTCATTTGGGGTACTTACACATGCTAATGTATTAACATCAGATTGCTGGCAGAAAATTCCTGAGGCAAAATGTGCAGAAGGGCATATGCGAGTAAATAGGTAGAACATTTCTAGTTTTTCTTGTTTTTTTTTATGTGTGTATTTGTGTAAAATAGAGTCCAGCAAGATAGACCTTTTTTTTTTTTTTTTTTTTTTTTTTTTTAACTGATCTATAGGTAATGCAAGTTTGTGCACCTTTGTGCCAAATGCCTAAAACCATGGCATTTTTATATGTCTGTGCAAGAAGACTTGATGTGCAGATCAGAGTGGTAAGTTATTATTAGTGTAACGATCATCTTCAGGGATACTAGAGGCAATACTGGTTGCCTTTTTTTGGGCTTTCACAGTTCACATTTTAAAGGAAATATGCTGCTGAGAATAGGGAATTAAAAGCACAAATTTACTTTGCTCCAGAATTATGTAATAATAACATTATTATTAAAGTACAATTACTTTTTGTTTGGTATTATTAATTTACTATATATATATTTTTTTTTACACTGTAGTCATCGTCAGAGGGCTACATTGCAGTTGTACTGCCAAAGTTTGAAGAGAGCAAGACTGTCACAGAAGGACTTCTTTCTCAAAAACAGTATGAGGACCTATTGCTTAAAAGGATATCTTTGCCTACAAATGACTTATCAGAGAAGTAAAGGATTTGTGTAGTCTCAAAAAAAAAAAAAAAATCTACCTGAAAGGAAAAAAGGACCATTATTTATGAACTATACTTCTGAATTACAAAATGGTGTGACCAGTCCTTAACCAATCGGTAAATATACCCATAGAGTATTGTCTGCTTTATACAGTTGTGTTCAAAATAATTGCAATCCTACATCACTAACCAGATCAATCATTGTTTTTGGTATAAATTATACACTGCTCATCTTTTCTGACTGCTTTTCACTAGTTTTACATGTGACTAGGGTCAGTGTCACTGCTGGTAGCATGAGGCGATACCTGGACCCTACAGAGGTTGCACAGGCAGTCCAACTCCTCCAGGATGGTGCATCAATATGTGCCATTGCCAGAAGGTTTGCTGTGTCTCCCAGTACAGTCTCAAGAGCATGGAGGAGATTCCAGGAGACAGGCAGTTACTCTAGAAGAACTGGACAGGGACGTAGAAGGTCATTAACCCAGCAGCAGGACTTGTATCTGCTCCTTTGTGCAAGGACGAACAGGATGAGTACTGCTAGAGCCCTACAAAATGACCTCCAGCAGGCCACTGGTGTGCATGTCTCTGACCAAACAATCAGAAACAGGCTTCATGAGGGTGGGCTGAGGGCCCGACGTCCTCTACTGGGCCCTGTGCTCACTGCCCGGCACCATAGAGCTCAATTGGCATTTGCCATTGAACACCAGCACTGGCAGGTCCGCCACTGGCGCCCTGTGCTTTTCACAGATGAGAGCAGGTTCACCCTGAGCACATGTGACAGACGTGAAAGGATCTGGAGAAGCCGTGGAGAACATTATGCTGCCTGTAACATTGTTCAGCATGATTGTTTTGTTGGTGGGTCAGTGATGGTCTGGGGAGGCATATCCATGGAGGGACGCACCGACCTCTACAGGCTAGACAATGGCACGCTGACTGCCATTAGGTATCGGGATGAAATCCTTGGACCAATTGTCAGACCCTATGCTGGTGCAGTGGGTCCTGGGTTCCTCCTGGTGCACGACAACGCCCGGCCTCATGTGGCGAGAGTATGCAGGCAGTTCCTGGAGGATGAAGGAATTGATACTATTGAATGGCCCCCACGCTCTCGCCTGACCTAAATCCAATAGAACACCTCTGGGATATCATGTTTCAATCCATCCGACGCCGCCAGGTTGCACCTCAGACTGTGCAGGAGCTCAGTGATGCCCTGGTCCAGATCTGGGAGGAGATACCCCAGGACACCATCCGTCGTCTCATTAGGAGCATGCCCCGACGGTGTCATGCATGTATACAAGCACATGGGGGCCTTACAAACTACTGAGTACCATTCTGAATTGCTGCAATAAAATGTCAGCAAAATGGACTAGCCTGCTGTATCATTTTTTTACTTTGATTATCAGGGTGTCTTTGAATTCAGTCCTCTGTAGGTTGATAATTTTGAGTTTCCATCAAAAGATGGGACATTATTTGCATTCCTAACACATTACTCAGTCCATATCAGTATAGATATCCAGCATGGTATTTTTCCCTATTGAGATCTGATGGGTTTTCAAAGTGTTCTTTTAACAGTGAAGCAATTCACAAAAAGAACATTGGGGAACTGGAGCAAGTGCAGAGAAAGGTAACCAAACTGATAAGAGGCATGGAGGAGCTCAGCTATGAGGAAAGATTAGAGGAACTGAATTTATTCTCTCTTTGAGAAGAGGAGAGAAAGGGGGGATATGATCAACATGTATAAATACATCAGTGGTTCACATATTGAACTCTCTGTAGAGCTATTCATACTGAGGTCATCACAGAGGACAAGGGGGCACTCTTGGAAGAAAAGAGATTTAATCTCCAAATATGGAAAGGTTTCTTCACAGTAAGAGCTGTGAAAATGAATGTGGAATAGACTCCCTCAAGAGTTGGCTCTGGTCAGCTCAGTGCATTGCTTTAACCTCCCTAGCGGTTTGATTATGTTCATATTTCTGTGCTCAAAGCGGTACATTTTTTTTGCATGGAAATATGTAGTTTTTTTTATTGTAGGCCTGTAATTCTTAGGAATAACTCACTGAAATCTGTCTGAACAAGAGTCAAGTAAACATCCCGGGTATGTTAAAAAATTTTGAAACACGAAATTATAATTTAACAAATCATAAAAAATAATAAAAATAAGTTTAATTCAATAATATAATCAAACCAAAAACACTGAAATTTGAAATATAGCGCCAAGTTCGCACATCACTGAGCAAAGTTGCAAAATCGTTTTCAGTGTCTGATGATGAATTTCCCCACAAATCATCACTCAATTCTGCAAGTAGTTCTAATTTACTATCGCTGTTCTCTAGCTGGTCTAAAATCGCTTTTGACCTAAGGTAAGTAAAGAGAAGATAGTGCTGCAGGGTATTTCTGAGTGTAGCTCGGGGTTACCGCTTGTGGTGCTGAAACTTTACACCGACCTACACCTGGGAATACCTCCAGGGAGGTTAAGAAAGGTCTGGATTCTTTTTTGGATACACAGAATATAACTGGTTACTAACATTTATAGGTAAAGTTGATCCAGGGAATATCTGATTGCCTATCAGGGCAATGGTTGAACTAGATAGACTTTTGTCTTTTTTTTAGCTAGACTAACTATGTAACTTTGATGGCACAAGTATCATGATATGGGGATGTTTTTCATACTATGAGGTTGGATCTATTTATCAAATACCAGGGATCGTAGATCAGTTTGAATACATCAAAATACTTGAAGAGGTCATGTTGCCTTATGCCAAACAGGAAATGCCCTTGAAGTTAGGGATGCACCAAAATTTTGCTTCTCAGATGGTTTCTCAGGTAACGCTGAGAACCACTAACGATCCTGGCGCTGGGCATAGAAGTGAGTGAAGGAAAGATGGCCTTCACTCATCTCTATGCCCTTGGGAGGACAGGAGCAATGTCACTTCTGGTTCTGGCCAAACCCCCCCCCCCCCCCCCCAAAAAAAAAACATTGATTTAGTGCTTTAAAAAAAAAATGATCCGGTGATTTACATTGCAGAGGAGAGATGTGAGGTCTTATTGACCCCATATCTCTCTATAAAGAGGAGCTGTCACTAATTATTTCTATCACAAGAGATGCATGCATTTCTTGTGATAAGAATAAAAGTGATTCAAATTTCTTTTTAAATGGACAGTGCAAAAAAAAAAAAAAAAACTGTTTAAAGTGCCCTGTCCCCCCCTTGCTCGCACGTAGTGGTGAACGCATAAGTAGGCCATGTCCACATATGTAAATGCTGTTCAAACCACACATGTGAGGTATCCCCATGAACGTCAGAGCAAAAGCAATAATTCTAGCACTAGAACACCTCTGTAACTTTATACTGCTACCCTGTAAGACATTTTTAAAGCATCATCCATGGAGATTTTTAAGCACCGCAATTTCACGCCATTCCAAGAGCATGCGCAATTTTAAAGCGTGACATGTTGGGTATCTACTCGCCGTGACATCCTCTTTCATATTTTGCAAAAGAATGTGTGTGTGTGTGTGTGTACATATATTTATTTTTTTTCCAAAAAAAGTATATTCATTTTTTAAAAATTGCGCGTTTGGCTAAGTGAATTTTGAATTTTTGATTTTGGCACCAGAATTTTCATTTCAGTGCACCACTACTTGAAATGGGTGTTTCAATAAGACAACAACCCTAAACACACCAGCAAGATTAATGCTATGGAGTGGCCAGGAATTGGACATTCCTGGACCAAAATCCAATAGAAAACATCGGGGGTGACTTAAAAAAAAAAAAATGCTGTTTCTGCGGTCAAACTAAGAAATGCAGATGAATTGTAGAATTTAATGCAATTGTCCGCAGCTGGAATACCTGTTATCCAGGTGCCAGCAGTTGGTTGACTCTGTGCAACATATATGTGAAGCAGTCCTCAGAAACAGTGCTTATACAGCGATTAGTTCAGTGATTCACAGGAAAGCTAAGTCTTCAAGCATTTTTTAGTTTATACAGTAAATGTAATATAAGGTAAAAATGCAGACACTGCAATTTTTTTTAAGAGTCTAATATTCAATTTGCCTCACTTTCTGTAAAGTAATAAAAAAAAAAAAAAATTGGAAAACATTTTTCTTCATGTTTTGATTTGGAATAGCCTGGGCAGTGTTCCCAATGCATCTGCATGTATGGCAATAATAGCTATTATAAGTGAGCTTTACACACTTTTTTTTAAAAACACACTGCTATTATTTTTAACACCAACTGTATAATAATATACAGGGGTTGGACAAATAAGTGTTTAAACACTACATGATTTGAAAGGGAGAACATGTTCTGCATTGAAAGTGGAAGTAATGTAACATTCTTTCTTTTGCTCCTGTGTGATGAGATGGAGTTATGTTTAGCGCTTACGGTGTTTCAAAGAAGGCAAATTGTTGGTGGCCACTTAGTGGTGTCTCTGTGACTGAAGTTAGTTTATTTGTGGTGTTGTAAAGTACAGTATCGGAAAACTACTGTAAAAGTGACTGCAGAGCTCAATTTCAGTCTTCCAAAGCCCATGTCCACAAAAACTGTGCGGAGGGAACTGCATAAGAAAAAACCATTCATGGACAAACTACAATTGCCAAACCACTAGTGACTGATATTAACCACTTGCCTACCAGGCACTTATACCCCCTTCCTTACCAGGCCAATTTTCAGCTTTCAGCGCTGCCGCACTTTGACAATTGCGCGGTCATGCAACATTGTACCCATATGAAATTTTGATCATTTTTTTTCTCACAAATAGAGCTTTCTTTTGGTGGTATTTAATCGCCACTGGGCGCTTTACTTTTTGCGCTATAAATAAAAAAAGTGCAAAAAATTTGAAAAAAAAAAAATTTAATTTGTTTCTTTTATAAAATTTTTCAAACAGGTATTTTTTCTCCTTCCCTGATGTGCGTTGATGAGGCAGCACTGATGGGCACTGATAGGCCGCACTAAAGGGCACTGATAGGCAGTACTAATGAGGTGTCAGGGATAGGCGGCACTGATAGACAGCACTAATTAGGGGTCACGGATAGGCAGCACTGATAAGGGGTCACTGATAGGTGACACTGATTATGGGTACTGACTGGCGGCACTGACTGGCACAACCCCTGGGCACTGGCGGGTGGCACTTGCACTGGTGGGCACAGGTGGGTGGTTCTGCTGGGCACAGGTAGGTGGCACTGCAGAGTGGCACAGGTGGGTGCACTGCTGGGCACAGGTGGGGGCACTGCTTGGCACGGGTGGGCGGAACTTGCGGGTGTCACTGCTGGGCACCGATCATCAGGGCACTGATGATCGGTGCCGATCCCCGCTCTGACAACTGCCGGTTCTCGGCAGTACTTTCCTCACGATCTGACAGCGTGAGGAAAGTGCAGCCGAGAACCGGCACTTGCATTTCCCTGTGATCAGCGTGTCATTGGACACCGCTGATCACGTGGTAAAAGGCCGCTGTGATTGGCCTTTTACCACATCACGTGATCAGCTGTGTCCGTAGGACACAGCGATCACGGTGATCGCCTGGGGCGCGCAGGAGAGCGTGTTCTGGGAGGACATCATATGACATGCACCCAGAACTGGCCGGCCGCGGTGAAGCCGTCATTCGGCTATGCGCGGTCGGCAAGAGGTTAATGTTCAGAATAGGAGAGAGTGGTGCAACACCCATAAATCATAGAGTGGTGATTAATGGAAGACTGTTATATAGTCCATTGAATCGAGCCTCACTCTATTCCCAACCACCGTCCCAAGCTTACCAGACCAGGACTGTCTTGTGCCAATGGCAAAGCTAGATAGCGGTGCAGTCATGGTATGGACAGTCATACCTTGATAGTCTGCAGGCCCCATCATAACCTTGAAGGGTAGAGACACTTCCAGTGACTGTGTACAAATTTTGTTCGATCATGTGTATCCCATGGTGCAGATGATGTTTCCCAAAGACAATCAGTGCCCTGATGATCGGTGCCCACCTGTGCCACACACAAGTTCCGCCCACTTGTGCTTAGCAATGCGCCCACCTGTGCCAGCAATGCGCCCACCTATGCCCAGAAGTGCGCCCACCTGTGCCCAACAGTGCCCCAGCAATGCACCCACCAGTGCCGCCCACCTGTGCCCATCAGTGTAGCCCAGCAGTGCTGCCAGTCAGTGCCACCAGTCAGTGCCCAGCGGTTGTGCCAGTCAGTGCCCAGCAGTGATGTCAGTCAGTGCCACCTATCAGTGCTGTCTATCAGTACCCATTATCAGTGTCGCCTATCAGTGCCACCTATCTGTGACACCTCATTAGTGCTGCCCATCAGTGCCACCCATCAATGATGCCCAGCAGTGCCGCCGGTCAGTGCCGTCTGTCAGTGCCTCCAGTTGGTGCTGTCAGTGCCGCTTATCAGTGCCCATCATTTCCTGCATATCAGTGCATCATCAGAGCCGCCTCATCAATACCCATCAGTGCTGCCTATCAGTGCAGCCTCACCAACGCACATCAAAGAAGAAATATTACCTGTTTGCAAAATTTTAGAATAGAAGCAAAGGAAACCTTTTATGTTTTATTTTTTGCACTATAAATGAAAAAAGAGCAAAAAATTAAAAACACCCAGTGGTGATTAAATACCACCAAAAAAAGCTCTATTTGTGTGAAAAAATGATAAAAATTGCATATGGTTACAGTGTTGCATGACCGCACAATTGTCTATGTTAAGTGCAACAGCACTGAAAGCTGAAAATTGTCCTGGGCAGGAAGGGGGTAGAAGTGCCCGGTAGGCAAGTGATTAATTCCAGTGTTGGCACTTTGAAATAAAAAAGTTGGTTTTGTGTTGCAGTTTGGGCACTCGGGCTCAAAAAGGTTCGCCATCACTGTCTTAGAGCATTGCCATTTTGTTTATTTGTTTTGTTTTTTTTTTTAAGTTAAAATAACATGAATGTTATATTTGTGTTCATTGAGACTTTGTACCATGGCGGGTGTTTCCTAAGGTGGTCTGCTGTTTTCAGCAAACTATGTGCAACCTCACCTTGCAGCCATGATCTACATTGCATGGACTTTGTATATTATCTTTTAGGAGCATCTGTGCATACTTACTGATCTCTGAACATCAGGGAACACGTGATTTCATCTTGGGTAATTGCAGCTGGTGAGTATGACACCATAAGTGAACAATAAAATAGCAATGATGCAGACCCCCTATGAGTACGTGCCATCGCACGAAACGCATCAGGGAGGGGCTACAGCACTAGGACACAACGCTGCCGGCACCATCTTGGATCACCATACTGGTCAGTGATTTTTTTTGTTTATCCATCTGGCTAATAAAGCACCCTCTGTTCATACGGTATCACGCTATTGGCCTCCTTTTTTTTTTTCTTTGAGCTCCTCCTATCCACAGAGGAGACGAGCCATCAATGGGCAGCTGATGTCGATTTAAGAAGGGCACCAGACCTTTAAAGGGGACACCCTGGTCCTTTGAGATTGAGATCTCTAAATGCGCAGGGTGATTGCACATCTGGTGAGTGCGCAGTCGTTACTTTTCCTTATCACCAATCATTTGGACCAGTCAGTTGGATCCAGAAGATCTTTAAGCGCCTTAATATTTGGACTTATACCTGACACTGTGCACAGGGCGAGTCACTGATTAGTGACTCATTACACTTATCTATATGCGTTTGCACTATGTCACTTGTTTTTTTTTAGAACTGTCATCACTTAATACATTGTTTTTTTTTATCATGTTCATTAGCTGCTGAGTAGGCTTGACATGTTACATGATGTATGGTTTCTTTTATCTTATCATGATTATCAACTTTTAAGTGCTACACCCTGCTATCCTATTGTTCATTTTTGGAGGGTTTTGGTACCTTTTGGTGTTTAGCTGCTCACTGACTTTTAGCACTCACTCATTCTTCTTTATTGTTTTATGGCACTATAAGTAAGTGATGATTTTGTTCAGTGATGAATAGTTTGCAAATCATATGCCAAACCGCACCCTATTGTCCGCAATTACAGCGGTCAAATTGCTGTGGTTTTGACTTGGTCAGAGCCGCACCGATTGCTATAGTACATGCACTATTTTTCATTCAATTTACATAGACATGTCTCAGATGTCTTGCAAATCGTCATGTCCCCTGACTTTGCAATTGTGCAACTTACATTAACGTCATGCGATTTTAAAGCTGTGCTTGATGGGACCAGGGTGTTGAGCTTTGGAAGAAGAAAAAAAAAAAACCTGGAAGCTGATTTCTGGTTTCGATGCAGAATTATGCCAGATTTTAGTACATCAAACCCAATGTTTCACTACATATTACTGTGTAGCTGTCTAAGTAGGATAGAGACATTTATGAACACCATTTTAGTATGGTGCAACTGTGTCTACAGTAAGGATTTGCCTTATAGTGATGGTTCGCTCAAAGTATTGTATACAGTTGCTTTTTTTTTTAAGTTTATTATCACCATTTTATTCATACACCGCTCAAAAAGAAAAAAAAAAAATTAAAAAGGAACCCATCAAATCTCAATGGGGGGGGGGGAAGAATGCTGCATATCTATACTGAGATGGACTGGGTAATTTGTTAGGAATATAAGAATGCCATCCTTTGATGGAAATGAAAATTATCAACCTACAGCAGATTGAATTCAAAGACACCTGAAAATCAAAGTGAAAGAAAAATGAGAGGCTAGTCTATTTTGCTGAAATTTCATTGCAACAACTCAAAATGGCACTTTGTTTGAGCCCCGAGAGGTGTGCCATTGGATTTAGATCAAGCGAGCGTCTGACAGATTTCATCCTGATACCTAATGGCAGGCAGGGTGCCATTGTCTAGCCTGTAGAGGTCTGTGCATCCCTCTATAGATATGCCTCCCCAGACCATCACTGACCCACCACCAAAAATGGTCATCCTGAACAATGTTACAGGCAGCATAACAATCTCTATGGCTTCGCCAGACTCTGTCATGTGCACAGGGTGACCCTACTCTCATCTGTGAAAAGCACAGGGCACCAGTGCTGGACCTGACAATTCTGGTGTTCAATGGCAAATGCCAATTGAGCATAGGGCTCAAGTGAGGATGTCTGGGCCTCTGACCACCCTCATGAAGTCAATGGCAAATGCCATTGTTTAGGGCTAAGTGACATGTCACCTCTGACCACATGAAGTCACTGATTGTTTGGTTAGAGACATTCACACCAGTGACCTGTTGTAGGTAATTTTGTAGGGCTCTGGCAATGCTCATCCTGTTCCTTCTTGCACAAAAGGAGCAAATACCGGTCCTGCTGATGAGTTATGGATCTTCTCTAGCTCTCCTAGAGTAACGACTTGTCTCTTGGAATTCCCTCCATGCTCTTTAGACTGTGCTGGAAGACACCACACACCTGGCAATGGCACTAACTGATGTGTGCCAGCCTGGAGGAGTTGGACTGCCTGTGCAATCTCTGTAGGGTCCAGGTATCGCCTCATGCTAGCAGTAGTGACACTGACCTAGCCAAATGCAATACTAGTGAAAAACAGGCAGAAAAGATGAGTAGGGGAAAAATGTCAATGGCCTCCACCTCTAAAACCGTTTTGGGTGTTGTCTCATTTTTGCCCAGCTAGTGCACCTGTTTAGCAGAGAGGGTGGTTAATTTCATTAACACCAAAGCAGCTGAAACTGATCAGATCAGTATGGCAGGAATTTAATTGACTTGATGCTATACTCTGCTCAAAAAATTAAAGGAACACTTTTTAAACAGTGTATTTTAAGTCCATTAGTTATTTTTACTTTACTTTTTGTTTGGAGTGCAGTTACCATTAAGCAGGGTTTACTAATGTTAATTTTAATGAAGGTATAAAAAAAAAAAAAAGTTTGCCTTTAGAACTACTTCAAGTTTCTAGTTAATTATTTTTTTTTTTCCACAGCACGCTCATCAGTAGTTCAGTGTCACTGTATTGCACCCGGGTGGGAGTGGGGGTGCGCTATCAGATTTCTTTTTACACTATTGCTCAAGCAGTGATAATCATGAATATAATAGTTTTAACAGTCATGAATGGCTTTCCTTTCATGACAGCTTGCTTACGGTTGACATGCTGTGATTGGCAAGGTACCATGTGATAAAAGGTGGGATAATCGCCGCATCAAACGTAAGCAAACTGTCCACAAAAGAAAGTAATTCAGGATAGTTTGCTTGCATAATTATCATATGATTGCGATGACCAGATACCCCGGGTGCTTACAATGGTCAGGTACCAAGAACCATGATCTGCTCTGTCCACCAGAAACATTGTTGCAGGATTGAGGCATGCATGTGCTAGGCAATGTGCAGACATGTCACCTAGCCTGGCTGTGCCACCTGCCTGCAGTAGATGTACTGTTGGTGGGCAGCAAGCAATGCAGGGCAACACAAGAAGAGAGGGGGAGAGTGTAACCAGTGTTCTGCTCTATACCTGTAGAATTTGCAGGGAAGTCCAAATTGACTTAAAGGATAAGGTCACCTTTTGTAACATTTTACACCTACAGTTGTGTTCAAAATAATAGCAGTGTGTTGAAAAAAGTGAATAAAGCTCAAAATTCTTCTAATAGCTTTTATTTCCATACACACAAATGCATTGGGAACACTACACATTCTATTCCAAATCAAAACATGAAGAAAAATATATAAAATTTGTGTTGTTCCTCTAAATAAATTGAAGAAAAGTGAATATTAGTCTGTTCAAAAAAATAGCAGTGTTTGTATTCTTCTTTACAAACTCAAACATTCACTATATAAACTGAAAAATGTTTGAAGATTTTGCTTTCCTTTGAATCACTTAATTAATATTTCATTGTAAAAGCACTGTTTCTGAGAACTGCTGTACATCTGTGTTGCATGGAGTCAACCAACTTCTGGCACCCTGTGAACAGGTATTCCAGCCCAGGATGATTGGACTACATTCCAGAGTTCTTCTCTATTTCTTTGTTTTGCCTCAGAAACTGTATTTTTGATGTCACCCCACAAGTTTTCTATTGGATTAAGATCCGGGGATTGGGCTGGCCACTCCATAACATCAATCTTGTTGGTCTGGAACCAAGATGTTGCACGTTTACTGGTGTGTTTGGGGTTGTGGTCTTGTTGGAACACCCATTTCAAGAGCATTTCCTCTTCAGCATAAGGCAGCATGACCTCTTCAAGTATTCTGATGTATTCAAACTGATCCATGATCCCTGGTATGCGATAAATAGGCCCAAACACCGTAGTATGAGAAAACATCCCCATATCATGATGCTTGCGCAACCATGCTTCACTGTCTTCACAGTGTACTGTGGCTTGAATTCAGTGTTTGGGGGTCGTCTGTTCTTTTTGGGTCTAGTGGCTGGAGACAGTTTGTCAATCTTACTTTCATCAGTCCACAAAATGTTGCGCCATTTCTCTTTAGGCCAGTCAATGTGCTCTTTGGCAAATTGTAACCTCTTCAGCACGTCTTTATTTTCAACAGTGGGACTTTGCGGGGGCTTCTTGCAGATAGCTTGGCTTTACATAGGCGTCTTCTAATTGTAACAGCAC